TTTTTTTTCAATCAGGAGGACTGCTTTTTTGGAGGGGGGCTGTGAACCCGTGGGCGAAATGGTTGAATAAAAATGAGGAGAATCAAACAAACCAACACAAATCAGTTGATCCGCAGGGTTAAGGCCAACCACCAATCAATCGTTTCGTTGGGCATCACCACACTTTTGCTAATAAAAAGGTACATCTTGCCCCAAATCCATTCCACTTGGATAGCTTTGTTTTTCTTCCATGGGTCACCATTGTTATAGTGCGTTGAGCCCAAGGCGTGATGTTTTGTGTTCTTTTTGTTGAAAAAAAATGTACCACACAGGTTTTTGTTCAACATTTCTTTGCTTTAAATTTACGACAATCAATGTCAACTATAGAACCTCCCAGTTTGTATATGCCGTGATGACTTGACAAATTCTGAATAGATTGCCACCTAGAAACCAAGAGATAGTGGATTGTGTATTATAATCGATGCTTCATGGTATTTTTATGAATACAGTTAGTAGGGACTCCCTCCAAAAGCTATGGCCTTGAATGTGGGATAAAACTCGTTAACAACGTGTATTTCATTAGCAAAGTTTACAACTGTGTTTTACTAAATAGTGGAATAGAATTTGTGTTCATCGCAATCTATAGCAAGATGGTGTATCTAATCACGAGTTGGTCTGCCGACACTTGCGTCACTTTAATATAATATAAAATTTTGGCCCATTTTTAAAGGCAAGGGGGAAAGGGGTGATCATCCGCTAAACATGGCCAATAGACTGATTAGTTGGAAAACAGTCACAGTTGTATCGTGTAAGCTATTGTCTTCGGCAAACTGTCCATATCCAGATTTCACTATCGTCCACAGTAAGTATTACCTCATCAGACTCCTTGTTGTACACTGCATATTACTGGGAAAAGCCCACGCTGACCATCTTACGATGGAAAACAAAGGGCGAAATATGTAAACAATCATGCGAATATTTAGGTCTGCCCAAAACTGACTTTCCTATTTAACAAAGTCACGTTCTTCAATCAGAAATAAGCAACCTTGCACTCCATATAATGCACAAGAGCAGACACGTTACAAGCCATCTCCATTTTATAAAACTACTCAATGTTTCTCAACCTCCCCCCCCCCTACAAGCATCGAACAATTAAGGTGAAAATTCCATTCTAGGTAATAGTATATCAGTATTAATGTTACTTTAAATTTATTGCCGTCCATGCCTCTCTAGCCGTATTATTCGGCTTCGCTAGAAAAAAATTACATCTTTCAAAACCTGGAAACACTAGATGTGGTGCGATCAGACGCAATTCAGACCCAAGTATAAACTCACACTACAGGTCACTTCAGCAATGAAAAATATAGATACTGTAGAGTGAGAAATTCGGGTCCAACTGCATGCTGAAAGTGAAGATGAATGTAACTGTTCGTACATCCTGTGAATTTCAGGGGCAAAACGTGAGAGGGTAAGGGGGGAAGGTATTTCCATTAACGACTATTATATAATTTTGATTTTAATGACCATGAGGGCGGGTGGCCGAGCGGTCTAAGGCGTTACGTTAAGGCCGTAATCTCTTCGGAGGCGTGGGTTCGAATCCCACCCCGCTCACTTTTTTTGTCAATCCGAGTTTTCCGGTGACGAGCCGCCGACTTTTTTTTTTTTCGTTCGCAGACGAAAAATCTAAGCTACAACGAATTTTGATGAAGTCGAAGAAAATTTTGCTATTATAAAAGCTATTCAATAGGGAGCAAGCCGTGTCGGAGATGATAAGGAGATGCAATTGAACATCTGACGGTAAATTTTTTCGCTTGGTGTTACAGTTTTGGTGTCATTCGCTATACGTGGAATGTTTAACGGTTTAACATTGCAAAAATCACTTGAATGGATAATAAACTCACCCATTTCAGTTGAAGAATTTTACCGTGGCATTAAAAGGGACAAGCATTTGTGCAACTTGGATACGTAAAAATTTGTTTATCACACAGAGAAAATATCAGTCAGTTCATGGAGGTGAGATAGTGTTCCCCTTCTGAATGTGAAGTCAGGGACAGTATTTTTTTTTGAGGTACAAGGTGAAGTGCAAAAAGTCAAAAGCGTAAAAAAGGCATACTTTCCACCACTACGTTTCCAACCTCAACTTATACTCTGTTGCTTTTTTTAGTTACCAGTTGCCCATTTGCACCGGTAATTCCTTCATTGACCATTTATTATTTACACCTGTAGCTAATTTAACAAACTAAAGTAACGGACGCCATGGACCAAGCGACAGCCAACGCCCTCTTTGACAAAGGTGGTATCCTTTTATTCCTGGATGCCCCTAGTCAACTGGACATTGGTATCGATATGAACCTCTGGACAATTGGTCCACGTTTTAAAGGTTTAAAGTTGATCCCGCCAGGTGTGCATTTAATTTACTACGATCGTGGTGCGACCCGGGGAAAGGAATTACGTGTGGGATTCTTTTATAATTTCCAACCAGGGGAAGTGTTGGTAAAACAGTGGGATTCTGTTTCAGAGCAGTTATATCCGAGTTCGGCAATGGACCCTGAGCAACGAAGGCGGTACGTAGCGGATATCCGGTCTTTTGACCCTTGTTTGGGGGCCTATCCGCTCGAGCCGCCCCAGAAGCAGTATGGGGCTTGGCGTAAATTATCGGGATATATTAGCGCTGACGTATTGAACGTGGTGTTGCCAGACGGATGGGGGTTTACTAGTGCTGACGGAGGTCCTTATGATGAAGAAGCCGTGAGGGATCACCAAGGGGTAGCGTTTACCTTTATTGACCTTAAACACTCTTTTCCACCGCAGAGTCAGGGTAGCGAACGAACCATGTATAGTCGGGACAAGAGTTGGCTGCTAAGACAGCTTATGGATCAATGTTGGCGGAATGACTATCGAAGAATCTTGGGTGAACTGCAGATTGCCTATGTGTGTCTGCTGATGGGTCAACTCTACGCAGGATTCGAACAGTGGAAGGCCATTTTGCACTTGGTTTGTTTATCGGAAGAGGCAATAGTCGATTATATTGACACATTATATCCCAATTTTGTCGGTAAGTGGATTGCGCATCCTTACTGGAAAAAAAAACGTTCATTTCATTAGGAAAAGAAGGTAATTAGATTACATTCTCTTCATCGGGATGATATCGTGAGCAAAATCATATTTTATCATAGTCGAATATCTAACCAGTGAACCTATTTAACGTAGGAGATCTACTCCCCTATTTTTGAACTATACTACGGCTAGACGTTCTACAAAACCAACTGAGCGAATGTCCAGAAGACTTTTTCGCTGACATTATTATTACCGATAATTTCGTGGCGCATTTACTCGCGGTAAGTTTGATAATTTATGATAAATCGCGTAGATTGGAAACGTTGGTATTATAAACAAGTGGTAGCAAGGCCTTCTTCTATGAATATTGGCTTTACTAACACAAAGTTTTAATGTTGCTGTTTGGGTTACGTATTTCGAAATATAAAAATGGCGTGCTATTAGAATCTTACGTTGAACGTACTTAAATTGTCACAATCTCACTCAGCGGCGTCATCCCTGTTAGCAAGAATACGTCGATTGAATCGTTTTGTCCACGAGCGTTTCGGTTGGCAAGTTCCTCAGCTAACCAAGGAACTCAGTTTAGAACATAGCGAAGGTGAAGAGGATGAGTCTGGAGAGTATGCACCAGTCGTAGTTGAGCTATAGACCGATTTCCCATGTTACACGGTGATCCGTCGAGTTAAAACACCTGCATCGAAATGCACCACATTTTCCATAGGTATACCGGTTCAAGGTATTTCTCTATTTTCACATTTTTTCCTGTAAATTACTTAAACTTCACGGTGGAGGGGGGATACCCCGACGATAAGGTCGGAGCTTCCAAAAATTGAAACCAGTAACCACACTGGTTTACATCGTGTCCACAAATAAAACTGGAACACTTTAAATCTTAGGGTCAGCTGGCCAATTCTCAGTTGGGAAACTTCACTGAATGGCTCACACTCCCCCTCGGATAAGGATGGTGAAGAACCATTTTGGATTTCCCCCTTCCCGCTGGTATTTATATGTCTGTGAACGAATGGAGTGGATTAATAGCCCTCCCTCCAATAGCGGGGATTGGGTCCATATCACGTGATTGGAGGTATTCCGGTCACTTATGGGACCAACTAAAAACTGGAGAGATATCATTGGGAGTGGCAAGTACTAGAGTATGGTGTATAGTTTGGGAATTTATTCTGTTGTGCAGTAATAAGCACACGGATAAACGAGAATAAAATAGAAATAGGTTAACTCAACTCTTACATTAGTATACAAAATAAACCATCTCAAAATGTAAAAGTACAAGAATAAATATAAAGATATCGAGGGAAAGGTACGGGTAAAATAGCGGAGAAGCAACCAGACAAGTTCAGGTATTTATAACCGGAATAGGGAAGCGAATTGGTTTTTCTTCTTGGGGAAGATAGCAGTCATCCGACCGGTTTTCTTGTCATAATCGACGCGATAACGGCTAGTGTCAGCATCTTCGGGCAGGTTGAAAATGCGATCGAAGCAGTCAGTGGTTTCGTTCTCATAAACATAAGTGTAAATGGGAGTGGTGGTCGATTTGCCCACTGCGTGGATACCAAATTTAGCGCCATGGGCCTGGTGGTCTACCGACTCGGGCTTATCACCCTTCCATGTGAGGGTCATTGTGTACGCTTGACCGTTTTGCTTAAGGTCAGAGGAAGCAGGTGCCAACGAGTTGGACTTGACTGGTACGTAAGATGATGGCTGCGACCGTTCATAGGTCACCGAGTCCGACGTGACCGAGACGGGGATAAAATGGTGGCCAGAATCCGGAACAGCCGTGCAAATGGTCACCCCAGAGCTCGAACCGCCCGACGTAATGGCTCGAGGGGAGCTTTGGGGGAGAGAACGCAAGGTTGGATGTCCTCCATGGGCCGAGTTATGCATATAGATACGCTCGGTATCACGAGATTCTCGATAGTAGCGGTCAGAAAACGCCATGGCAATAATATAGTGTACGGCAAGTGTTACCAGAATCAATGAGGAAGGAGTAGTACAGTATAAAAAAGATAGGAAAGGTAGTCAAACTAGTGCCTGGTGGTTTGAAGCTCTTGAAGCAGCAGAGGGAGTGGTATTTATACTCGAAAATTCTCTGCTTTTAAAAAAGGGGATGGGGTGCAATCCAGATGGATACCATAAGAGTTATAATTCGGTGGAAAAACTTACTGCGCCGTTTATTTTTTTCACAATTTATCACTTTCCAAAGAAACAATGCAGTGGGAAAGCTGCGGTCGTTGCCAATGCTCGGTCTTCCGGTTATTTGAAAATTCAAGTGGGAAGTTTAACCGAAACCAAGATTTACACGCTGATTCATCGTTGCCTCCCCAAAAATGTGAAAAGAATTCTACAGGGAAGAAAAGAAGAGGGACAGATGTACACCCAAACAAAGACCCTGGCTCTTGACGCACTCATAGAATGGTGTTTAATGCGTCGATACCCTGTTTTGGTACCTGCAGATATATCCGGTTTTAGTGCGTCATTAAGGAAAGGATGTACCCAATGCAGATCCGTTCGTTTTCGTTGAACAATTACAAATTGTTACTGATAAATATGCGCCATTTTCGTGAGATTACTGCGGATATCTCTGCATATACTTTTCCAAAAAAACATGCAAATACCTGTGATTATTTACCGGGTTCCGGATGTCATTGTTGGAGACTCAAGTAGTTCCCACATTCTGAAGTGTCAGAGGTTTCAACCAAAGGCGCTGGTCAGACGACATCCCTTTCCCCACAGCAACTGCCATGGTGAGAAAAAGAATACCATTAGTGGCGTACTGTATGGTCTTGAGCTTTGTTTTAAATATCACATATCCATAACAGTTGTCAAATTAGGAAAAATATAATTATTGGTATCACTCCGTTTTTTTAAATAGGGTCTTTGCATTCAATATGACGATCTACAGTGGTCAGAATCACCCCCCCCCCTCCTTGTACTTTTACATACGCTTTCGTAAATGTGGGGACTATGGAGCATTTTGAATTTGATAATGGGGTAATCTCGCCAGTGATGCGAATGTCCCTTGCCGTATTCTCTTGGTGAGAAGGTTACACGGTTCATTTTCGTTCTGATTCACAAGAGTGATGAAAAAAAGAAGTATCCATATTTCACTGGCGTTTATTAAAGTGGTGTTTCCGCCAACAATCAAGACTTTTTATGTCACTAACCAACTTGTATTTTCCTCCCCTTCTGCATTGTTATCATGCCCTCACAATGATACGCACTACTCTGCGCCGTACCAACACTATGCAATAGTTTGTGTGTGACCTTGCAAAAAGAACATCGCTCAATGGCTTTCCCGCACTATCCATCAAGGCAATGACTTGTGTCACTGGAGAACTTGTAAAGTTCGAATTGCCTCCTTGTTTTGAATACGAAGCCCGGTATCTCGTCCCTTTTTATTTCCTTTTATACATCTCTTTATTTCGGCACATGCGGATAGATGTATATAGGTAAGTAAATATCATCTAGCTAGGGTTTACCGAGGAAACCCCCCCCCATCTAAAGGGCCATCCATTAGGAACGTAGAGTTACTCATAGAC